GGGTGGACTTCAACTCCCAGAATTCTTGCTGGCTGGGGAATTCTGGGAGTTGAAGTCCACCCGTCTTGAAGTTGGCAAGATTGAGAAATACTGAATTATTCTTTGGCTTGAGCAAAACCAATGAACAGGAAGTCCTCATTCATAATTATACCCAACCCTTCAACAGCCTTTCATTCCACATTCCTCAGTGTCCCCAAAGGTTAAAAATTCCAGTCTGGGAGCTAAGTTAATTCTCTGAAGAGGAAGAATTGCTAACCCGCCCTGGCATATTTCTTGTCTCTGTCTTTATTCTGGTGGCGACTCGGTTTGGTGTGGGGGTTCAAGGCACCAGGCTACAATCCAGGAGGCCAGGAGTTCTAGCCCTAGGTTAGGTGCAAAGCCAGCTAGATGACCTTGGGCCGGTCCCGTAATATTCGGAGGATCTCACATGCTTCAGGTCCCAGGGTGCAGGGGAGGGCAGCATTAAAGTTTGCCATGCTCCCATGCTTCTAGTGCAGTTTCCTCAACCTTGGCCACTGGAAGATGGATGGACTTCCACTCCCAGAATTCCCCAGCCTGGGAATTCTGGGAGCGGAAGTCCACATATCTTAAAGTAGCCAAGGTTGAGAAACACTGAACTAGAGTGGCAATGGAAGCACGGGGAGGGGAGGCTCCCCTTTATCCGTTGTGTTCAAGTAGAGTCTGGACAGCGGATGCTTTAATTTGGGCAGGGGTTAGACTTGATGACCTCCCCGGCCCCTTCCATCTCTATGAATGAATGGGAAGCAATAATACTGTAATAGCCAAGATATGAATATAAGAGCAGTAGAATAATAACCATAAGGTACTCTTTTAATGAACGATGATGACTTTATAATAATTGCATTCCCTCATGCCCTGAATGTAATATGTGCCCGTCCCCTTCTAATGGTTACTCGTGTTTGTTTATCATTTTAATAATTAAATGTTGTATTTTCAGGGTTGGCTCCCGGCGTATAATTAAATGTTGCCTCTTAAGGGTTGGCTGACTGCACATAACTGGGATTGCCCGTGTGGGTGTGCTCCGCGGTGGCGAGCGTGCATGGCAATCTTTGGCTTTTTGGAAGCGTGCGAGTCACGTCTCTGTTGTGTGTTGGCCGTTCGGTCTCCATGGCAGCTCAAGCGATGACGTGGGAAACCTTGCTGGGGAGCACCAGTGTTGCTCCGGGCTGTGGGCACAGGATTCTTAGAAGCCGAGGCGCCCGCTGCACGGCGTTCAGACTGCTATGTGATTCGGCTGGCGAGTGATTTCAGAAGCTTGCTGCCAGCGCGTCATCCTCGGCGGCTGCAAGCCCAGATCCAACCTTGCGTTGCCCTGCTGCCTTTCTGGCTCCGTAGGCGGATGGTTGGCTTGGCCGTTGTCGTGGCCGAAGGGCGGGACAAGGGTGGAAAATGCCGGCCTTTTCTTGCGCGGGTGGGCTGCGGACACAAGAGGACCCTCTTGTTCTGCCCCTCCCCTCTTAACAGGGAACAATACCAGGGAGATGATATTGGAGAAGATTTGCTGGCTTGCTTCAGAAAGAGAATCTGGGAAGATGTGCAGGAAGACTAAGGCTGTATTATAATATTAACAACATATCTATCTATCTATCTATCTATCTATCTATCTATCCATCCATCCATCCATCCATCCATCCATCCATCCATCCATCCATCTATCTATCTAGGAGTAAGCAGCAGAGCATCCTAGTGAAGCTGAGACAGGGAGGTCCCATTGCACAATTTGTCTTCTAGCCCCCAGGTCAATTTCTCTGCTTCTGCAGCTCCCCCCTCCCACAATTTTGGAAAGTTAGAGGTGGAGAAACCCTCTATAGCAGTGTTGCTCAACTTCAGCCACGTTAAGATATGTGGACTTCCACTCCCAGAATTCCCAGGCTGGGGAATTCTGGGAGTTGAAGTCCATCCATCTTCCAGTGGCCAAGGTTGAGAAACACTGCACTAGAAGCATGGGAGCATGGCAAACATTAATGCTGCCCTCCCCTGCACCCTGGGACCTGAATTGCTAGCTAAGCATGTGAGATCCTCCGAATATTACGGGACCAGCCCAAGGTCACCTAGCTGGCTTTGCGCCTAGAATTTTACCCGCGATAGCAGAAGTAGAAAGGGACACGCGAAGTTGGGCTTGATAATGTCATGGCCAGTGTAATGATATGTGGGAAAGACCTTGGGAGACTGTGCCAAGAGACGCTGCCAAGGGAACAGTCAGATAAGAGGCGGCATAGCCTGCAGCTGGATAGCGGGAGGGGCAAGAGGCTCAGAAGGGGCCCTCCCTAGTTTTTTGGGCTGTAAAGGAGACGGCGGGTAGACTCAGATTTGCAAGATTGATGTCAGCCTTACGAGGTAGACCAGACAGGAAACACAACCAGATGAGTTAATTCTACTTTATTGTAAGGCTACATTAACAGAACCTTGCAAGTCTGAAAGTACATCTCTCCCTACTTCCCCTTTACAGCCCCAAAGGGGCTGTAGTTGAAGTCCACTGGGAGTTGAAGTCCACCTGTCTTAATGTTGCCAAGTTTGAGAAACACTGCCCTAGAACCTCTATGTAGGTTTCATATTTGAAAGCAAAATGACTTGCTGGGATTCTTGCATACCACTGCAACCTGATTCAGGATAAATCCTATTAACCCAAACTCAGAAAGAAATGTTTCTTGCTGGTTTTTCTTTTTTGCTTCTTTTTTCTTTTTCCGGCCCAGCCAGCCCTTCGAGGTAGGCCAGGTCAAAAAACAGCAGGGATCACAGGATTCCACTTGATGGTAGTCAAACAGAATCACAGAATCCTGAAAGCCTGAGTATATCTCTGCCTCATCTTCTACAAAACAAAATCAAGGCGAGGTTATTTTGAATTTCTTTCTCACGCTTTTCTCTTTTCCAGGACTGAATAATCTTTTCTCAAAGATCCCCCCCCCCGCCCCCCATAGCTCACTTATGCCTTTCCTTAAAAGTCCTGATGATTGCTACGGAGAATGGACCAACCATGGCTTGCTTGCTCATTTATTCATTTATTTTTGCAATTTAGAGGCTGCCCAATTCCATAAGACTCTGGGCACCTTACAGCATTAAAAACAGTAAATACAGCACTATAATAATAAAAATAATAAGAAGTAAAGTTCTACAGAGGCTCTGCACTCACCCTAATCAAGGCTTCGGGAATAGCCAGGATTTCAGTGACTTCTTGACTATTATCAGGATGGGAGCCATATGGATTTTGGGGGGCTGCTGCTCCAGCCAGCAGGGTTAGTGCGATGTGTGAGCCCAATGTTAATGCACACATCTCAGAAGGAGACTGACTCCTGAATTAAATGCTAACAAGAAAATCTGCACCACTCTCTAAATCACAAACAGCAAATCATCTTTCAGCCTGGAGTGTGGTGTGTGATTAGTGGAAGGTTGGGGGTCTTCTGTGAACCCCAAAAATTGGGAAAAAGAAAAACCGCCAAGAGGAGCACGGATGAAGGAGAAGGGATGGAATCTGCTCACACAAGGACTAGTCTAGGCTAAAATGGGATTGTATCCGCATGCAATTATGATTATCGTTGTTGATCGCACAATCAGCCAGATGTTTAGAGTGGATCTGGCATTTTTATCCACCTATCGAGTCCTTCCCAAGGACCAGGGATAGGAAGATGTTGTTTGATGGTGTTAAAGGCATCGTCACAGGGTGTGAGCTGTTCCAAATAAAGCTGCCTTTTGTGATCGACTGATGGTGATTTTGTCAATGCCGATGGTCTTCCAGGGGTGCTCCAGATGTTTCCGGATTGCACCCAAGGCGCCTATTACTCTTGGCACTATTTTTGCTTTCTTTTGCCACATTGTCGCTCTATTTCTATTTGCAGGTCTCTGTATTTTGTGATTTTCTCCAGTTCTTTTTCTTCTCTTCTGCTGTCTCCAGGTATTCATTGCTGTTCACACAATCAGCCAGATGTTTACACTGCATTTGGCATTTTTTTCAATTACTGTTGTCATTGTTATCTGAGCATGGTATGTAAGCTGGGCCCTGGTATTACAACAGAGTGAATACAGCAATGGTCATTTGTTAACCTGGGTTAGCAAGCTGTGTGAACTCAGCCAGTCGCACAGAAACCCGTTTTGCGCAAACCCTGCATTGGATTTCCGGATGAGTTAGACCAGTGTTTTTCAAACACAGTAACTTTAAGATGTCTGGACTTCAACTCCCAGAATTCCCCAGCCAGGATGCTGGCTGAGGAATTCTGGGAGTTGCAGTTCACACTTCTCAAAGTTTGAAAAACCCTGTGTTAGATTTTTAACTCCACTTTAGAGGAGGAGGGTTAAAAATCCAGTCCAACAGGTGGGGAACAGGGAGGCCATCCCATTCATCTCTTTCCCCCTTTTCAATCAGACAAAATATAAAGGCCGCTGCAAAAAAACCCAAGAAGAGTCATCCGCCCATTTGTTCTTTTCATTCGTTCATCCGTTCGAAAAAGGGCAAACCGTCCGGGCGGAAGCAGCTTCATTGGGCACTACGGACAGCGCCAAGGGACATACCGGCCCGCGCGCTTGCCCGTGGTGGTTGCCAAGGGCAATAGGCGACGCCATCTTCTCCCTCTCTCTCCCCCGCCCTCCTTCCAAAGGCGGCTGGGCTGCGGGACGTTGGGAGGGTGCGGGATAAAGAGGAGGGGGGCTCCAAATTGGGTCGGTGGGGGGAGGCTGGAAAATGTCTGCCTTTTCTTTAATGGAAGCCCCCCCGGGGCTTGAGCTTAGCTGTAGCCTTTTAATGCTGAGGGGAAGTTAGAAAGAGAAGCAGGCGTTTATAAAGGGGAGGGGGCTGGGGAAAAAACGCCCCAGATCGGGGGAGGTTGCACTTGGATTGGCTTTGGAGTGAGGGGGAGCTCAGGGAGGAGGCCTCAGTACTTTGGGCTTTGTAATTTTCTAGAGAGGTCGGTAGGGACCTCTTAGGGACTAGTATCTTGAAAATAAAAATTGGGGAGTGGAGCAAAAGCCTTCAGGCCTACTGAGTAATCTTGAAAGCCAGGGATGGGGAAGACGGGTAGTGGGATAGCTGCAGGTTTTGCTGTGAAAACAGGCTTGGTAGGAAGGCAGAATACTCTTAGGGACTAGAAACTTGGTGGGAGGAAGGAGAAAGGAAGGAAGGGGAGGGAGGGAGAAAGAGACATAGGAGCATGGATGGAGCAGACTTGAAAGTAGTAGGGAAATTCAGAGGGCTGGATCCACGTTTAGGTCCAAACTGGGTTTAGATTCAGGCACTGGTCTCTCATCACGGCTTATTGGGAAGCCTGGGCCCCGTTTTAGTTTCTGGAGCTTTGCAGAGGCTGAGCCCCAGGCGGAAAAGGGCCGCTAAGCTTGCTTGGCCTTAAGGGCTGGCGGCTTTACTCCCCGGTGGAGGCCAGTCAGGAAACCCGGCTTGGATGCTGCCAACAGCCCGACATGCTGGGAGCCATCATGGCTTGCTTTGATGGGCAGGAAAACCCTGATCGCCCCAGACAGTGAATCCAAGGAGCATATTTGCTGGTGGGGCAGGTTTGTTAGACAGGCCTGGCTCAAGATAGATCAGTAGCCTATTTATTTATTCATTCCTTGGGTTTCTTATTGGAAGGCGCCCCGGGGCCACAGAGACAGGCAGGATGCCGCTGAACCCCAAAATCGATCCCCGCTACTTCGTGCTGATCCGGCCCTTGCCCATCCCTCCCCAGAAAGGTCTGAAGATCCAGGCTCGGAGCAAAACCGTCTACAATTGCTGGGAAGTCCCAAGAGAGCAAGTATTTCGAGAGAACTATAATCGGAGGGCCAAACAGCTCTCGCAACAGGGGTATTTTACCCCCTGCTGGAAACCCTACCAGGATTTCGGAGACCCCCTTTACCTCGACCCCAGGAAACTCACCCTCTACGGTCTGGGACAGCTACCTCCTGTAAGTGTGCACGCCTCTCATTAAATCCGTCAGAAGGATTTTTGCCTGCAGCCTCCCAAAGCCGCTAATAAAAAACAGCTGGGAAGTGTTTTCTAGGCTGGCGGCTTAGAAGACACCACACAAAAGGAAATGGGATTGGGAGGGAGAAGGAAAAAGACAAACCCAGGCATAGGTTTCTAGGCGGCCACTGGATGACTCTGCATCAGAGGGTCGGGCAGACCCAGAACATTGGCTGAATCGAGTAAACCGTAATTCAGGTAACAGTGGGAAAACACATTGTGCAAACACAGCTGTTGTAGAGAGGAAAACAGCTGGGGAGGAATATCTGAGGTGTTTTCTCCACTGCTTTCCCCCCACCCCACCCCAAATCTGTCTCCTGGATGCCCCATTCATCTAAATCAGTTTTGCTCAACCTTGGCAACTTTTAAGATGTGTGGACTTCAACTCCCAGAATTCCCCAACCAGCCATGGCTGGCTGGGGAATTCTGGGAGTTGAAGTCCACACATCTTAAAGTTGCCAAGGTTGAGAAACGCTGATCTAAATGGTTAGAGACAAGTCTGGTCTTCTGGCCACTGAGCACAGGTAAGCTGCTTGAGATATTCCATTATTGAATATAACAAAGTTGATGTTGGCCACCAAAGTGATGCCAAGAGGAGACTTAGCATTTTTATTTCTTTTTTTTTTAAGGATTCCCTGGGGTTGCAACTCTCTTCCACCCCTGTCTCTTTCCCAGGCTTTCTCACATGCTCCACTCGGGCCCTTTTAACATTCATGGAGGAACTCTAACATGACCTGTTTTTAGGTTGAGAATCTGAACTCCTGTCTCCAGGGAGAGGCTCCATGTTAAGCAGGCAGCTCGGATTCATTGAAAACTGAGGCGCGCTGGTCCCCAGATAGACCTTCTCATTACCCGAGTATTTTGAGCCCTGCGCGAAAAGGTCTGTTCTGACTCCTTGGTGAGCAATTGCAGGGAAATATTAGTCTCTCTCTCTTTTTTTTTTAAATCTATTTGGAGAGTTAATTGCCATGACAAAATTCATCTGCATTACTCCTGAGCTGACTTGTTGGTTTTCCAAAGGCAAGAGCAGCAACTTCTCTTTTTTTCCCCTCTTTCCTTCTTCAGGTGCACACTTGGGTTGCTTCTGCCATTTTCTATGACTATTATAAAAATCCATTGGACAGTTTTGGGGGGCTTCTCTGTAAAGGTGTAATGAAATGATATTGCAGGAGGGGAGACATGGCAGTCTGATCACTCCTTTTCTGACTTACACATTTTATTCAAAGTCATAAGCTTCCCGAGCTGTAGCATGCTTCATCTGGTAGTCCTTTTCTGATTAACGCATTCTATGAAAAGGCATCACCTTTCGTGCGCTGCGGCCCGCTTCATCAGAGGCATGGAGTGGCTAAATGAATGTCGTTTAAACTTGGTGTAGTTTGATGTTCTACATCACTTTAGCCCCTCCATGCCTCTGATGAAGCGGGCCACAGCGCACGAAAGCTGGTGCCTTTTCATAGAATGTGTTAATCAGAAAAGGACTGCCAGACTCCTTCTGGTATCATGAAATGAGTAGCTGCATTGTCCACAAAGAAACAGAAGACAAAGGAGAACAAAAATAACATTATCATTACATCTGCCCCTGTAGTTAAAAGTTCTTAGGGCCTGTCATTGAGGATGCATGTAAAACTTTGGTTTAAAGCAGTGTTTCTCGAACTTGGCAACTTTAAGATGGGTAGACTTCAACTCCCAGAATTCCCCAGCCGGCATACTGGCTGGGGAATTCTGGGTGTTGAAGTCTACCCATCTTAAAGTTGCCAAGTTTGAGAAACACTGGTCTAAAGCACGCATAGACCGTATGCATCTGTGGAGCTCCACGGCCCTGTGATCATAGTGCTGAAATTCAGTGGCAAATGGCTGAATTTGGGCAGCAAATCTCTCTTCCTTTTTTGAAATTATGTACAGGAACCTGCTTCCAGGCACACACACAAGCCTTTTGCCTTAAAGCTCTCAAACCTCTGCCTTCTGTGAAAATGCTGGCCTGTTTTCTTTATTTCTTTAGAGGTAGGAATGGGGGAGTGGGATGCCTCTCGGACGCAAATGATTCCCTTTTAAAACTCCTACTCCCACCCCCCAGCCGGAAATTAGCCTGGAAAGAATTATTTGGAGGTGTTTTCCAGAGCTGAGCAGGTTTAAAGATAAGAATAGAAGCATCTCAACGTCTTGCAACTCTCATTCCTCTCCAGAAACCCCTGATTGAAAACACTGCCCCCCCAAAAAAAATCATTCCATTGAGTAATTTCTTGGGAGTTTGGGAGGCTGTGTTGAGTTCCCCCAGCTGCATATATGTTGTCATTCCTGCTCTAGAGCACCCCTCCTTCTCTGGCACTTTCTCAAGGAATTGAAATGACAGCATCCAGAAATCCTCACCAGCATCTCTGCTGGCTGGGTTTCTTTTAGCATCAACACATTGAAAGTCTGCAGGCTGGCGAAAGCTGATCCATACTCCCTTCCTGCTTCCTGAACATTAGCAGAGGCAGCATAAACCGAGCCTAAGGCCACATAAACTAAGACGTGAGCAGAAATCTCTCTGTTTCCCAGCCTTTTTACCTCCAAGGAGACTTTGGTAAAATGCTGTTTGACAGTGGGCAGGGAGCAAGCTGAAGTATATCATGGCAGCAGGGGAGATTGGACTGAAAGAGTCTCCCACTTCAACTCAGCAGGAGAGAGTTTGATATTGTGGGCTGTGCAGGGGTGACGATGAGAAGAACCAGGATCTAGGACACTTCAGCTGAGTGGAGTGATTCTGCCAGTTTTCAGGTAGGTTTTTCCAGCCCTACCTGAAGCGCTAGGATTGCACTCAAGATCCTCTGCACATATAATATGCACTGTGTCATTTAACCAGCTCTCCTCTGAGCCTTTCAGGGAATAACTGGGTGGAAGACATGAACAATTATTTATAGGTTTCCTGTCTTTCCTATTTCCCCCTCCTTGACAATTTTTCAAGAATGCCAGAGAAATGTCTCTTTTCCTATTCACAGTTATCCCCTGAAGAACCTTGGGATGGGCTGACTGAAAAGGTTCCCTATTTTCAATCCCAAATTCAAGATTTTTACAACGCAGAATAAAGAGTCCAGGTTTCATATCAGCCAGAGTCTCTCCTAGGTTCAGTTCCTTGTCGGTTCAGGGAAAATAAATATGGCTACTCACATCATTCTTGTGCTGATGGATGCAATAAGAATACAGGCATTGCACGCTGCTAGTGCCAAGGGACCACAGTGGTCTGTCTAAGCTAGTGTTATCTCCGCGCTGGATAAAAGTGCATTGCCGAGCTGGAAAGCATGATTAAAAATAAAACTATCAAGCCCCTATGTAAAACAGCTCGTAAGGCTGCTTCAGAAAAAGACTCTTCCATAGTGGGAATTATTGCAAAAAGAATCAGAAGCAGTTCTGCCCAGCACACCACCCCTCTGGGAACTGTGTGGGGCCCAAAGGCATTGTTAGAAGTAAAGATTATGCTTGAAGCTGATTGCACGGCTATGTAGCATACCAGCTGCTTGTGTATTTTAATTAAAAGCACTTATTTAAAAAACAGGTTGGGCAGAGTGGCTGGTAGGTATTAAAGGAGGGTTAAAGACAGGTCCTGAGCTGAAGTGGCCAACGGCTTGATAGCCAAAAGGCACGCTTCACTGTTTTGCAGGGCTGAAGGCTGAGAAGTGGGTCAGACAAGGTAGAAGGGGGAGTTTGAGGCTTTCCCTTCTTAAACAATTATGTGCCCATTTTTATTTTTATATGTATATATTTATATATCAAATTTGTCACTGCCCATCTCATTAAAAAACAACTCTGGGTGGTTTACAAAGCAGTTAAAATCAGCTAAAAATACAATATAAAATGATCCTGAATAAATAGAAAATAAATATAATCCAAGAATAGATGTTCAGTTGGCAGTAGTTTGCCGAACATCAGCCACCCCCTGGATTGGGTAAGATTCTTGTCACCTCTTGGGTAAGATCTTGGGTAAGATTCTTGTCAGCTCTGCAAGCTGGCAGAGCCAGGTCAAAGCCAGGCAGAGCTTTTTGGTCTAAAGCTATAGTTCTCTTGTGTTTTCTGCCCTCAAATGACAGGCCGTTACTTTTCAGAAGTCCCAGTCATCTGATGTGTAAAAAGAAAATTCAGCCACAGTTTGCCTACCCCTGCCCTGAGACCTGATTTGTTCAAACCATGGTTAGTTGAACTGGCTACAGTGGCTGAGTTCACACAGCCAATCAAACCCAACTAATCGAATTATGACAGAGCACGGTGTGAGCCTAGCCTGTGGGTATTAAGCCAATTTGATTTTCTAGTGTGAGGGTCTATAAAAGCTGCTTTTCAATGCCAACACACACTATATCCGAAAGAAAAATGCCCTTTTACTTGCAGAATTTTTATATTCCTATAGATTCCAGTTATCTGCCACCATGGCTCTCTTGGTATGTCCTTTGGACTACGCCAGTGTTTCCCAACCTCGGCAACTTTAAGGCATGTGGACTTCAACTCCCAGAATTCCCCAGCCAGCATGGGTGCACAGCTGGCTGTTGAATTCTGGGAGTTGAAGTCCACACGCCTTAAAGTTGCCAAGGATGAAACACTAGACTACACAATGGGACATGTTGGAGCTGAGGATTATTGAATTCTCCAGCAGATCAGGGCTCTTTCCGTTGTTCATAGCCCTTGAATTCAGCCACCTCTCGAACACGTGCGGTCATTTGCTCTCTCTACTTAAAAGGCTGCTGTCATCGGTGAGTGACACTCCAAAAATGGGTTGGAGAAAAGTAGCGCATTTTTGCACCGTCCTCAGGGTTGATTCTCCTGGATAGCTTTGCCCCTCATTGTCACGGAGCAGCGAGGCAAAGCCACGACCAGAACAATCCTCTGCGCGAAATGGGGAATTGGAGATGCGTACATCCATTTATTCGTTTTCCTTGCTGCTCCTGACTGCTCCCCAACATAATTGCCAAATAG